CGTGCAAGCACGGGTGGGTGTACGATAAGACCTACTACATGGATACAGCCGCCTCGGAGGTATTATATTAGATGTGTGGATGGTTGGGGGGATTTTAGCGGGCTATCCCAGGGAAGAATTCAGGTGGGGTTCAGGGGCTCAGGGCCACCCCCTATCATTTTCAGGACTGCAGACCCAATTCGTCCAGTATACCCCGAAGGTTTCTCTCTATTGTACTTATTATTACTAATGTCTTACTCTGTTGTAATTAGAAATAGAACGAAGAGCAGATAATTCGAAGATGGTTTTAAATCCATGAGTTAAAATTCATCGAATAGCAGCGGGATTTGCAACAGGAGTAATAGCACATCACCCAATCATCTTCTGATCTTCAGCCAACCGTAACTCCCAGAATGGCCGAATCTGCCGCTGACAATATTACAGACATCTTATGGAGTTTTGTAACTTTATCTCTAACGACCGCAAATCTTTAGCACACCTGAAAGTCTGCACCCTCACACCCTCATAGCAAGAGCATTTATAAGCCCCTGTATACTATCTGGGGCATACAAACCTTTGCGCATACGTTACCCGGAGGGCATGTAAACTATCTTACATTCTATAAAGAGCATATAAGGGGTTATGTGCACTTAATAATCTATATATGTATGATGTATGATAATATGTATGAAAGGCGACGGTAGATTTCGGCGTGAGATAAATGGGCGAGCTAAGATATCGCCCACTTATACTTATACACTTATAACTAGACGTGATTCCTGTTTAAACAACCGAGAGTGCGTTAGTTTGAAGTTATCGTCATCGATAAATAGGTAAGTTAAACACGGCGCCAGTGTTCTATGTACGTTGTGACCAGTGTACGCCATAGATTATTTTTCACTTGATTAGCACTTTGTAATCAGATGAAATTGATTAGGAAGTATTACAACAATGTAAACATGATTCTTAAAAATGTAAATATCATCGTTTTATGAGTCGAAAACGATCAGATTTCTATAAAAAAATTAAAGGTTAGTAAAAATACATTTCATTCCGAATTACGGCAACAAAGTTATCGCAGTTTGCCCATCTTTATGAAATATGATTCGCAAAAGCTTACAATTTATATGAAAAGTGCTATGGAAATCGGCTATGGAAATGGAAATGCGTACACTGGTTGTGACGCCAGACTCCTGGTCATCCATTAATAACACTCGGGATTTTAGTTTCTCTTACTATGAATATGAAATAGCAGGTTACACAGGAACACCCCACGCACCTTTATAAAATGGATCAGACTTTGATCGTTTCGATCTGGGATTTCGATTCCATACAAATCAGTATCGATAGGCCCAATTGACGACACGAATATGTTGTTAAACCAGTTGCATTCTAGAGGCACCTTATACCCCGTACAGACCGCAAAATTTGAACCTACATTAAACTGGTGCGGGTTAGGCGCGCGTCAAATCGTAGCGTACAGACTGCAAATTTGATCCTACATCAAATGAGTCATCAGTTCTCAGTTCAGCTCGCTACGTCACTCCCGCAGACAGCGGACCGCAGACTACGTGTCCTAAATAAGGCTATGCGCATGCGTATTGCGATTTAGCGCCAGGTTTTTGGCACGCGTGTTGCGTACAGACACACACACACACAAGCGGGCTATCTTGGTTCGGGCTAAGTTATCCCGGGTTGTTGCGTACAGACACAGCTTGGTGTGGGATAACTTATCCCGGGCTAAGTTATCCCGGGCCTGACCCTCCTTCATTTGCGGGGCCAAATTGGTGCGGGCCAACGCGTATTTAGAGCGGGATAGCGTGTACACACTGCAAAAATTTGGCGCGCGCTTGGCGCGCACCAGTTTAATACCATATCAAATGTGCAGTTTGTACGGGGTATAATATGTAATAACCCAGTCGTGGTCAATACAATATATTATTATACTATACACATTTTAGTGGGACCTAATATATCATGAAGCAGTCATGTGCAGTGTATTGTTAAACTATCTATATTTTAGTGGGACTTGGTATGTGATAAAGCTGTCATGGCCAGTACCATACTGACTGTTATAGGCGCCGCTGGTATACCTGGTCTGTTCATCTTTGGAACTATCGGTGACAAGTACGTACGAGTGAGAAGAAGAGAAAAAATGGAAAGCGAATGCGTGGGCAAATGAGTGCGCGAATGAGGGAGAGAGACAGTAAGATAGAAGGGATGAGAGTTAGAGAGCGGGAGAGGAGAGAGCGAGCAAGAAAGAGACGGAGGTAAACAGGAACAGAAAAGTGAAGAGTGAGAGAGAGAGAGAGAGAGAGAGAGAGCGAGAGAGAAAGAAGAGAGAATAAGCCTGAGGGAGAGACATAGAGAGGGAGAAACGATATCCATAGATCTATTAATTATTTGAATAGATACTCCCTCCGCTAGCTACGGTCCTGGTGTGTGTATTGTGTGTGTGTGTGTGTGTGTGTGTGTGTGTGTGTGGTGTGCGTGTGCGTGTGCGTGTGCGTGTGCGTGTGCG